AATAATTGTAATTGAGTTTTAAATTTAATATAATTTTACTCCTGATGATGGTTTAATAAAACCGAAACATGTTGTAACTGTTCCAATTGTAAATCGATTATTCGATATGGAACACAGAATGATATTTTAATTATTTTAATTATCTTATTTTAAATACATTGTGATTTGACGGAATAACCAAATAATTTAATTTTAATTACAAATAAAACTTAACACTGATGGTGATGGGTACTGAAAGTGTGGTTCTTCGTTCCAGATGTCTATGTAAAAAGTTTACATTCATGTGATGAAGCTCTTGAGAAATAGAGAAAATTTGAAATTTTCTTTCAGTTCTTTATATGAGGGTTACATTTGTAAATGTTCTACTTCAGGGTTTGCCTTACATCAAAGGCACATAGGTCGAGGTCAGGGGAGCAAGTGGGCTGTCTGAAAACACTTCTGTCTAAGTGGCTAATGATTTCCTTGCTTCATAAACAGTAATGGAGCCTTGCTATAAGAATGCATGTCAGCATTATTCATCTGTTAGCTGTTTGTAGAATAGAAGGAGTTTCTTCTCCATTTACAAAGGTAATTCAGTAATTTTTTGGAAATTTTGGCGACACTATCAGCAGTATCCCACAGCAAATTAATTTCTGAGTTCAGTTGTAAACATCAGTGGACACACCATGGAAGGCAGTTATTATGGGCAGTGTTGGATGTTGCACATAGGCACTAATGCAGTTTGTCTCCAAGAATATCATGGAAGACAGGACATCACTCTCACACATCTTTTTCAGAACATTCAGCAAAGGTGCAAATACAAATTAGCATCAAAAAATTTGCTGCTGCATGACAGTGCAGGCCCCATAATAGCTGTCAAACAACAGCAGGTTTTGTGTCCTATCAGATCTGTAAGATTTCTGCCGGCGTGCGTGTGTATTCAGTTGCAACAGCCATATGGCGACATTGGCAAAGAATAGATGTTTTTGTTGGCTTCATTCCTTAAGTGAAAGAAGACATGAATTTGGTGTTTTCACACATTTGTACCCAGATTTGTTCTAAGATGAAAAGTTTCAAATTATTTTAGAATAGATTTTTAATCTTTAAAAAATAAATTGACTAGTTAGTGAATCAGTTGTAAGACAAATTACAAATTATTGTTCAGATGTTGACATAGAGAGAGTTAAAATTATGAAACTTTATTGCTCAAACAGCTTGCCTGCCAAATTTTGTGTTCCCCAGGGTTCTATACTCCTTCTCATCATGTATGTTAATGATTTTTCAAAACTAAATTGTGTCAGAGCAGTCATATATGCTAATGATACTTAAATTCTGAACATGGGGAGAAGTTTGGGAGAACTGGGAAAAGTTACCAGTGACGACAAGAGTAGAGTAATACAATGAAGCAAACAACTCTAAGTTGGGAGAAACACTTACACAGAATTTGTAATTAGATTAGCAGTAATCTGTTTGTAATTAAGAGACTGTCTGACATTACAAAAATGGATGTTCTTCATGCTGCCTACTATGGATTATGTTATTGCTCTCTTCCATATGATATTGCTATCTGTGATCAGAGATGTAAAAAATGTTCAAGGGCAGACTCCTGTCATGAAAGGTTTATTTGGCTATATTTTCTAACCATAATTCACTACACAAACTGGAAGTAATTGTGCAAAACATAAGGTTGCGGTTGTTACAAATGGACAGGTTCATTACCACTTAACAAGAAATAGATTAGAATGTCACCTATCACTCAATCTTGACTCTACAGCAGTTGGCCAGTCGTTGGAGGTTGTGAATTATATAATAAACTTCTTGCTTACATAAAACAAATAAGACATGATCAGCTATTCAGAAAGAGGCTAAATAACCTCTTCCTAAAAGGCACGGTCTGAGGCATGGGCCTTGTGCCGCTTGGTCGCTGGGACCGTGGGTTCGAATCCCACTCAAGCCATGAATGTTATTCTGTGTTGAGCTGTCCTGTGTACAGGTAGAGGCCTTTCGAAGGGCCGATCCCTCGTCCAAGGAGTCCTACCGAATGTCTATAGATCAAGCTAACGAAATGTTGGGACCCGCAGTGCTCAGGCACTTGAAGAACGGGTCGTTCCCTGTATCCCCAGTATTACTTTGTTGAGGAATATATGAATGACTTCACTTATTTCAGCATGTGAGTCATCCTATTCAAATCTAGCCACTCAGCTGATACATTCATCCTAACTAGCGTCCTTACTAGTCCAGTTATCTCCTTATAGGAGTTCCAGGTCTCCTGTTTTGTTTTTTGTACTCCAATATTGTGCTGTATGATCATAGTGACAACTAATTGGTATTTTATTTTTACTTCACTGCCAAATGTATTTGTATTTCACATAAACTGTATACATGCAATCACTTCTTAGTTGTAGTGTATTTTTAATTTCAGATGTTACATTCGTGTATTAAGGATTAAGTTTCTTTAATGTACTTTGCTGTATATATGACATATCCAGTATCACTGTGTGTATACAAATTGTCTCATTGCTGTGCAGTTGCCTACAGGGTTAACAAGGATATTGAATTATTGAATTAGTTACTGATTGTGACTGTGATATGTTTTATAACATCTGATTCCTTTTCTAGGTCACTGATGTAGGGGATGCTATGATACTGAAGCGTTTATTTACGGAACTGTTTCGCAATGGAGTTGTTGTGGTGGTAACAAGTAATAGGGCTCCAGATGATCTGTACAAAAATGGACTTCAGCGCTCAAATTTTGTTCCATTTATTCACGTGCTCAAAGAACACTGTGAAGTGGAATGTCTTGATTCTGGGATTGATTACAGACTAAGATCTGATCCTGGTAATGATAGAAAATACTTTGTGTAAGTTTTTTTATTGAAAATTAAGTAATATATTTGGGTAGTTTGTCTTGTAGTAACGTACCTGCATTCAAGAATTGTATATGAAGAGTACCCAGTATGGTGCTGTTATTTATGTATTTATTTATAGTTCATTTAACGATGGTTTCTCAGTAGCGTATATTACATAGTGTCGAGTGAGAGGGCGATGTGAATAATGAATTGGAAAAGATGCGGAAGGAAGGGATTGTGGCCTAATTTTAGGTACTATCCCAGCATTTGCCTGGAAATGAGGAAGCCATGAAAAACCTCAGTGAGGATAGTCAGTCTGTAGGCCAAGATTTGAACCTGAGACCTCCCTAATATGAAGTGGGCTACAAACTAGTTGACTGTGATGTTTGATCATGGTGCTGTTATGTTTACATGTTTGGAGGACAGTTTATCTTCATACAATTTTTCCTCACAGAATGGAATTGTATTTTTACATTAATCATTATTGGAGGGATGAAAATAGTATTTTAGTATCCTGAACAGGAGCTGTTTTTCCCTTCCTGCTCCATACCTGCCTCCACCCTCCAGATGATACTGAACTGTCTAACTATTAATTAAGCATGGAGAAAGTTTTAACTGAGAAATGTGGCGCTTGTAGTATCTGCC